TCCCTCCCTCTCACACACCATCCGCCAGCATCAATGTGGAAACCACACTGCCTGGATTATACAGGTGCATTCCCAGACCACACCTGCTCTCCGAGGTCTCAATAGTGAGGCAGGTGAGTGGGGTACTGATGATGTAACCCCGCACCTCACTCATCCCAGCAGACAGATGCATCCCAGCGAGGCCTGACTGGCAGGAGGAGCTATAGCAGGAGCAATTCAGGCAAGTCTCAGCAATGGGACTACTTCGGTTTACACCAAATGGTAGCTTGACTGTTTCTGATGAATGATCCTCTCCCTCCCCGCTCCCCCTGGCTTGTAATAGCCCTTTCAGGCATGTCCCAACTGTTAGGCAAGTCTGTTTGGAACCAAGGCTACTAATTCCCGTTTCTGACGAGAGGAGACAACCAAGCGTTCAAACCAGCATCTGTTTCTTCCCTGATTAATTTTAAGTTCTTTAATAACGTAGAAGGTGTCAAAATAACTTTAAAGATAATCAACGTGAATGAGTGTGCCAGGCACAGTGCTAAGTACTTGATATTCATCATCTCACTTAATCCTTAGAACAACCTTACCAGGTAGATTCTGTTATGCCCACTTTACAGATGAGGAAACTGACATTCAGAATACTGCTTACACATAGCTACCAAGGGACAAATCCAAGATTCAAATACATACATGTCTGCCCACAGAGCCAGCTCACTTACAAACAGCCACCTAATCCACCCAGTAACAGGTGCTCTTACCTTTGGTGAGTAACACTTTGCTGCAGCCTACGCCAGCAGCAGATCGCAGAATTGTCCCCAGGTTCCCAGGGTCGCGGAGCTTGTCACAAATCAACAATATGGGTAGTGTGTGGAGAAGCTGAGTCTCTGGGTATGTCATCTTAACGTGGTCAGGTTTGGCAAAAATCCCTAAAGAAACAAAAAATGTGGTTCATTTGTCTGATGTGGGCATGGGGAGTAATTTGACTTTTCATTTATTTATCATTCTTTGTGTATTCTTAATTACATACTAGGTGAAAACATTCTGATCGAGAAATTCAGTGCCCTCCTCTCCCTCATAACTGCTTTCAACCTTGGAGTGTATCCTTTCAGAACTTGTTCCATGCATCTCCCTACATGTATGTCCATCTATCCATATATAAGTGCTTTTTCTTTTACCTAAAAAAAAAAAAAAAAATCACACTCTATGAAATTATTCTGTAACCTAGTTATTCTTTTTTTCTTTTTGGGCCTCACTGCATGGCTTGTGGGATCTTAGTTCCTCGACCAGAGATCAAACCCGGGTCCTTACCAAGGACAACTATAGCTAATAAGAGCACAGTTACTTAGACTGAGTGGAGGACTTTAGTAGTCCAAGTCCCCACCCTATGGGAGAGTTCTGGGCACGGGGGCACAGATTCCTAGGATTTGCTGGGTTACAGAAACAAGAGACTGTCCCCAGAATTTCTGCCCCCAATTAATAGCTATACAGTGAGCCCACTACAGGGAATATGCACGCACAACTGGTATGAGAGGCCCTGGCCTAAACATTAGAATCTTGAAGAAAACGCCTTCCCTGCCCCAATTATCCCTTACTATTCAAGAGAAATCTCTACACTCACACATTCGATTCTCATATCTTGAATGTCAAAAAAGTATACTTTAGTCTTTCCATATTTAGAAAAAAGACTTTCTAAGTGCTAACAGACAGTCTATTAGAATCTTGAGTTGGATTCAATCAAATGAAGACAAGGTTTCCTGCTCAACAGGCTAAACCCGGCGATAAACTGCCGCTTACCGCTCAGACCTGCTTCTAGAATAAGGGGGTCAACAATATATAGGTATTACCACACTGGCAGAGGTTTTGTGGAAATAGAGGGTAAATCTTTTGGTAAACATTTTAATTTTTTTGTTTTTGGCTGTGCCTCGTGGCTTTCGGGATCTTAATTCCCCGACCAGGCATCGAACCTGGGCCCACAGCAGTGAAAGCACCGAGTCCTAACCATTGGACCACCAAGGAATTCCCAACATTTTCTAAATTTTTAATTGAACACTTAAGGTTGAAGAAGTGACCCCCCAAAAATAAGGTCTGAGGAAGACTGATTATTCCCTAGAGACTATAAAAAAAACCACAACACAAATGACAAAAAAATGGCTGAGTCTCCACTGAAGATACAAGATACACAGATTTGAGAACTGTAATTTTCTGGGTGTCTTAAGAAAAGGTTAGGCACAGTAATATTTTGAATTTGGTTTAAATAAAATTTGTTGCCCTGAGACAAATATGAACAAATAATCCCAAGTATCTACTTCTACAGACACACTGGATAACCACTGACCCATTATTCCTTGTGGTGTTACTAGGTCGGACCAATCCTTGATATCCTCAAATTTCACCTTAATGAGGCTAACATCTTTCAGCTTCTCAATGGGCAGCTCCTTTATGTATTCCAGACGGCTAAAGAAGAAAACTTTGGGCACAGCACCAGCCTTGAGAGCATCTGCAATCAGCCTACGACCTTCCAACAGGATCTTCCCTTGTTTTTCCCGAAATTGCCTGGACTTAACTACTGTCATCACACTGCTGTGGGTGGAAGCAAAAGACGGGTAATTACCAACGTCCTCGTTACGGAGACACATCTAGTTCTAACAGACATGAAGAGCTTCGCAGGGAAAGAAACGAACTGTTAGACACTTATCCTGCCCTCCGTGCATAATAAAACCCAGCGAGTTGTGCTTCAAGAAGTCCTCCAACGGGAGGAAAGAGGTCAAGGTCTCGTTGTGAAGGAAAAGAGAAACGAGAAAACTCGACAAGCCTCAGGAACACATCACCTCAGCCTTTTGTCTCCAGGGAAAGCCTTATCATAGCGAAGCCCCGACTCTTCCCAGGTGCTGGGGGTCTGGGATGGGGGCACCTGACGCGACTGCTTCAGTCGCTGCTCGCGGGGACTGGACTCTGCCGCCGCCTTCCGAGGCTGCTTCCCGGGACCGGGCTTCCGTTCCACGACCTGACCTGATGGAAACACCACTTTCACGGGGCTGCGCCGCAGCGCCCGGACCCAGCGCCGCGCATCGAGCTCCCAAGACCGCACCACCGGCAACAACGGTCGCGTGGCCCAACACGCGCGCTCCCCCAGCACCGCCATCTTCCCCTGCGCCGTGAGCTGCGTCACGAAGGCGCGCCGGCGGCGATCAGTGACGTCACTACCGCGCCGGCGTCCTCTGTGGGCGGCGCAGCGCTGTACGATTAACGGCTGGTCATGGCGAGTCGACGGTCTCTGCACTTCGTGTTCAAAGTGGGAAACCGCTTCCAGACAGCGTGTTTCTATCGTGATGTCCTGGGAATGAAGGTGGAGACGGGGCGGAGAGGGGTTGGCGCGCGAGGGGGTCGCGGGAGGCTGAGCCCCACATGGCCGAGGGAGGGGAGAAAAGGGTGTGATGTGGATTTCACCGGGAACCCGGGTGTCCGACCTTAGCCCCTAGACTTCCCATTAGCTCTGTGGTTTTCAACTTCAGGAAGAGTCGTGAGTCGTGGCTTGGGTTAGATGGACTTTGAAAGGGGGTCACACTTACTAGTCGCCGATTGTGTGCCCACACATGTCCTTTCATTTAAGTTTATTCACGAATGTTTATTCCTGCCCTTGTGGGAAAGGCAGTAAATAAAAAGTTATATATAATACTCCTCCGGTGAACAAAGACTCTCTTCTGGTTTGGAGCCTTTCGGCTTAGATATCAGCATTAGTCAGAGTTCTGCTTCTCTTGTTGCTGGTTTGAATGGTCTCTTGGATATTCAGCCTCCGGGTGAGTGCTCCAATTCTTCTCTCCATAGTCCAGATCTAAGTGTCCTCGTCTCCAACACCTGGAAGTGGCCTCTCTCCAGCTCTGAGCGGCTGTGATTCTGCAGAGATCACTTGGGTGGCAAGCGCTGGTGGAAGCTATTGGGGAGCTTCCTGATAAGCAGGGACTTTAGATGCTGTCAACTGAAACAAAAATGCACAACCTAAAATTTTCGAGTTAAGTTCTTTTTGGGAACCTTACTGAGGACTATAGCCTGGAAGACAGCCTCTCAGATAGCTCTGAGGAACTGCCCCGAAGAGGCAAGGCGGAGCTAGAATATATATGAGTTTTTTTCGGGGGGGGGGGGAACAAAACCACGTAGTTGAACATCAAAAGATTACTGCTAATCACAGAAACAGACATCTCAAGTTAATGCTTCTTTCTTTTTTTTTTTGACTTGGGATTTTAAAAAATAAATTTGTTTGTTTATTTTTGGCTGCGTTGGGTCTTCGTTGCTAAGCACGGGCTTTCTCTAGTTGCGGCCAGTGGGGGCTACTCTTCACTGCAGTGCGCGGGCTTCTCATGGCGGTGGCTTGTCTTGTTGTGGAGCATGGGCTCTAGGCACGTGGACTTCAGTAGTTGTGGCTCGGGGGCTCTAGAGTGCAGGCTCAGTAGTTGTGGCGCATGGGCTAAGTTGCTCCACGGCACGTGGGATCTTCCCGGACCAGGAAGTGGTCCCCTGCATTGGCAGGCGGATTCTTAACGACTGCACCACCAGGGAAGTCCCAGAAGATGGGTTCTGGATTCATTGAAATTATTCCTTAGATATGCATCTTAAATATCTAGGGCCAGCATCCAAAGCATGGAATGCTTCTTGTTTTTCTCCATCCTGAATTCCCTTCAAGGTGCACTGTTGGTGGGCCACTGCAGTAGCTGATGCCCTGGTCCTTGTAGAAATGGAGTTGGAGGCGACATTCTTCGTTTACAGTGTGCAAGAGTGCGATTTAATGTAGAGACACCGCAGGAGACATGGAGTGCAAAGGGAGTTACCTGAATTCATCAGTCATTTAAAAAACATCACCCGCTTCATGGTTCTGTGTTGGGCTTTGGTGACAAAGATGAAAATAACCCTGGTATCTGTCCTCAATTAAATCTCCTGGCTTGGAATGGGGGTGGGAATTGTACATTGCTGATGGTAACGGTACTTGAAATTTGATGATAGAAAACCACAGAGCTCTCTCTTAATGTGTTTCCTCATTGATATAAGGGTGGTTGTAAAGATTAAACGCATTATTATATGTGTAGTATTTGACACATGGTATGTATTATGTAAGTGTTAGCTACCATTATTATAAAAGTACAACAGTAGGAGAGCTTTAACTCTAACCTGGTCCTCAGGAAATAATTCATGGAGACCTTGTACTTGAGGTGACCTCTAAAGATAGGTGGGATATCCATAGACCTAGATTAGAGGGAGGAGTATACTAGAAAAACTGAACAGCCAATGCAAAGTTAAGATATGTTTGGGAAGCACCACTAGTTTTATGTGCCTTTAGTTTTGGGGGGTTTTTTGTTGTTGTTGGCTGCTCCACACGGCTTATGGGATCTTAGTTCCCTGACCAGGAATCGAACCCCAGCCCTGGCAGTGAGAGCATGGGGTCCTAACCACTGGACTGCCAGGGAAGTCCCTGATAGTATCTTGAATAGTATGCTAAGGAACTTGGATTTGATGTCATAAAAAGTGGGGAGCTCTCTTACATTTTAGAACAGGGCAGTGGTGTGGTCAGAGCTGTGCTTTAGGGACTTAATTTTATGGTGGTATTAAGGAAAGAGATCACTAAGATGATTTCTAATAAATAGTCTGTGAGAGATGTGATGGGAGCTTGAACTGGAGCAGTAGCTGTGGGACTCAAAAAGGAAAACAGAAACTGACACATTGAGAGCCTACTGTGTAGTAGGTTCTGTGTCAAATGCTTTAATGAATTATCTATTTTCACAACATATTAGGAGACTCAGATCCTAATATGTTGTTCTCAGAGTTACACAGCTACTAAGTGAAGGCCACACTTTTTTCACTACCCAGTGCTGCTTCCCGATCTAAATGTAATAGATTTTACAACTTTGGTTGGTTGCCTGGCCCTTGGTATCAAGCCGATCTTTCTTACCTCTACTACTTCCAGCCTGGGAAAGGTATACAGCTCGTTATCTTCTGTTTGTTTTACACAGAAAGCTTACAAATAATAATGTCTGTGTTTTGACATTTCAGTTTGTGCTAAATGTGCTGTGTGTACTACTAGGACAACTTTGCCATTAATTCTCATTCCCTTACCAGATTCTTCGGCATGAGGAATTTGAGGAAGGCTGCAAAGCTGCCTGTAATGGGTATGACCCCTTGTTTCTTAAAATCTTCTTTAGTCTCTGAATACCCCTGAAGAACAGAAAGCAGTTTCTCAAAGCGAGTAGAAGGCAGTAGAATAAATTAAGGAGGCAATAAATTAGGGAGGCAGCTTCAGGGTCACAAATAAGTATATGCTGTGGATGAAGCAGTGTCTTACGGAGTATCTCTTAAGCTTAGTAACCGTGGCAAGCTGAGAAATTCCAAGGCCTGATGGGAATTGCATGCTTGACAAGTAGGCAAAAAACGAGTTAAGGTCAGGTGGGACGACTGTCCCTATAGGATTCAGCTCCCTACTTTAAAGAAAAGGTAAACGAATCTTTCCCTCAAGTAAGTGCCAGACAAATGGTCTTTTGAGCCTTCGGTGATGGGGCCCATGAGCGCTGTGCACAGCTGCTCTTAGCACCAGCTGAGGTCATCTCATCCTTATGGGTACTTGGAGGACGAGAAGGGACTGCCCACCTCTTTGTCCCAATAGTTCTTTGGGGGCAGCCTGAAGCAGGTTTTGTCTGTGGTCACTGGGTTCATTTTTTTTCATTTTTCTAGGCCTTATGATGGAAAATGGAGTAAAACAATGGTGGGATTTGGACCTGAGGATGATCATTTTGTTGCAGAACTGACTTATAATTACGGCATTGGCAGCTACAAGCTTGGCAATGACTTCATGGTAAATATCATTTTGTTCTAGCAGATTTTTGGCTGTACCTTTTAGAGAGGTCACTGATACGGCTGTAGATAACGATGACTACTGATTGATGGCTTTGGGGTGCAGTTTAGTGATTAGTTTTTTGATATTTTCTATTTAAAAAAGAACAAAACCAAGAAACCTGCTTGGGCCCCTGTCTCCAAGCTGGCTCAGGATGAAATGTGTTCTCCCACCATTTAAGAATCAAGCTCAAGACTTAGAGACAGGTTTGAAGGAGACAAGACTCCCCTGAGGGAATGACTGAATCTCGGGAGGTGGAAGGGCCAGAGTCAGTGGTTCATCAGGTCCTCATCACCATCCAGGGAAATATTTTCTCTCTAGTGGACAGTTGTGATTGGGGTGAGCGATTGCAGTCAGTCCTAGTCAGAGAAAAATCTGAGAAGGTTTTTAAGGATAGAAAGAAGGTATCATTGCATGCACTGCATTCATTAATGCATTCAAGAATTCAAGTTATTGTGCACCTGTTATAGTAATAGTATCTGTCATTTGCTGAGCAGTTACTGTGTGCGAGAGGGAATGTCACTGGGCCCAAATACATAGCAAGAGAGGAGTAACTGATTCTTCCCCAGAATCTACTGAGCAACTCTACCTCATGCTAGATGTTATTTTGCTCATTTGATCTCGCTATTCCTGTTAACTCATGTTAAAATAATGGTACCTAGATGGAAGTTTGTAGGACCAGATATATATAAAAGTGTTTTGTAAATGGAAAGGACTGCTCAGATATAACATATTAATAAATTTCTCTTTCTCACTCTCCATGCCTCTCACTAATTTATTCATTTAACAGATATTTATTGTGACTTGCTCTATGCCATGTACCTTGTTAGGTCCTGGGGATACCATTTAGAGCATGTTCCCTGGCCTAAGCAGTTTCCTGTCTGATGGGGGAAACAGGTAAAGAGACAACGAGAATACCGTGTGATAAGTTCTAAGATAGGGATAAGAACAGGGGAATGTGGGAACACACAGGAGGAATTTCCAGCCTATGCTCAGACAGATGAGAGTTCAGGGACGGCTTCCCAGAAGTGACGTCTGAGCAGGGTGAGGGGGGCAGGGTGGGAGGGTGAGATGGTTGTCCTCAGCATGTGCACAGGCCTGGAGGTGAGAGGGAGCGTGATGCTCAGAGACCTGTGAGTGACTCACTCTGGCTGGAGCTTAGTGTGTGAAGAAGGGAGTGGGTAGAGTTGAGGCTGGAGGAGCGAGCAGGGGCCACATCATATATCAGGACGTTCAGCCTTTATTCTGAAAGCAGAGTGGAGCCGCTT